AACTGATGCTGCTTTGGCATCACCTCCCCAACCATGGAATATTACTTCAAGGTAAGGAGGAGATAAAACCCACCTGCTGTGTTTTACCTGTCCTCAGATTGTCCTGCCTGATGATTGACAGATTCACGGCAAAAACCCAGTGAATTTAAGCTAAAAGTGTAGTTTATCATAAATGTCAGCTGCACCAAATATCCTTTATTTTTTCACAGAATAATGGCATGTATTTTGAAACATTATGAGCCTGATGCTGAGTCACTGTTCAAGTGTCTTGAATGGATTTCACTACAGGTCAGGTGTCAGAACTAATCTCAGACGCCTCTTCAGTGACTGCGCTCAGATTGCACTCACTCCAAGACAAGACACTTATGTGGACGACGTGCTGCTGCAGAGAGGCTGAAATGGGCCTGTGCCTTAGACAGAGCCAAGAGCACATGGGTAGTTGATGGAAGTGGAAGAAAAGAAATCTCAGCTAAGTCCTGATGTGTTTCAAGAATCAAATCAAATATACTGTAGGGCTGTGAAACCATGAAAACATTTCATCTGCAGCAGTTGAAGCTGTTCTCACCAGTGGACAAATAGTGGCAGAGAAAACCCGTTCAACAGGCGAAGATGACGTCTGCTGGTCGATAGCTGGAGTTAATTACTTATCGACTGAGTGGTCGCAGCCGTTACTCACTTTTCTATTAGTTCCTTGTTAAATATTGTCTCTGCATTTTCATCCTGAAATATGGACGCCACTACCCTCCACACGCCTAACTGAACAGAGGTGTAATCTGCCAACTGCCAGTAGTGGAACTAGTACACATGAGCTCCAGTGAAAGGGAAGAAATATCACAGTTTGACCTGAAGATGCCTGGCATAATAGTTTAACCTTTCGGTGACCCGCCCCACCATTATGGACGACAATCAATCCTGCTTTAAACCCTGCAAATTTCCTCGTCTTATCTTTATCTTTATCCTATGCCACACTTCTTCCAACAGGGGTCAACTCACCCCTCATCCCCTCCGCATCTCCTCCCCCTCACTCCCCCATCTATTAGTTTCAATTATTCAGCCGTGGACAGGGATTTATTCAGTCCTTTCGGTATGTAGCCCTCGTGCTAACAGGTTGAGAAGCCACGCTGTCCTCTGTCTTTAGGCCCATTACTCTCACCTCGCAGCCTCCTCATAAAGGGAGCTTTGAGTTGCCTGTTTTTTGGGGGGATCCGGTTGGCTTTATGTGCCATAATAGCCCAGGGGATTGACGCGCCGCAGACGGACATGTTTACTAAACTCTGTGTAGGTGGAGTGAGGGAGATTACGTGAATTACGCCACTGTGAATAACACTGTGAGGCAGGATTATTTCCTGGGGTGAATGTCCTGCATGGCATTTCCTTTGTTTTCACAGGAAAGTGGGAAAACATGTTTACACCTCAAGTTGGCGCTAGTTGACCACTCCTGTTTTGCAGTGTGTTTGATTGTTCCATTTCATTGTAGTTGGAATTAGCATCTGAGCGTAGACTTCCAACAGCAGCTACGGCATGTTAGTGTCTAACACAGGTAAAGGAACTGAACAGCGCAGTGATGCGGATCTCTACCTTGTACTCGTGCCTGTACTCTCATCATCATCATGCATTTCCTTCGGCTCAAAAGATGAACAAGTCCAGTCCATAGAATAAATAAAATAAATGTAACCAGCACCAGGCAAAATATTGAAACGTCCAAAAGTTGACGGATCTCTACCTTGTACTTGTGTCTGTACTCGTGTGTGTGTGTGTGTGTTTGTTTGTTTTCATTTGTGAGTCAACATTGACTGTATGAAAGTGAGAAGTTCTTGCTTCACTCCAGTGAAGACAGTATCAATTACAGACATGGATGCAGCTGTCAGGAGAGGTCTTTTGAACTGTGTATGCTGCCGACTGTCAAGTGTGTGTGTGTGTGTTTGGGTTTGTGAGAAAGGTAGATGAGCAAAAGTCAACAGGAAACATTCTGTTCTCTTAAAGTCAAACTAAAAATCTCTGATTCTCTTCTTCTCAACACAGAAACCTGTTAAAGCTGTGATTTGACAGTGAACTTCATCTAGCGCAGCCTGGAGGCCACATCTTTGCTCTTGATTACACAGTTAGATGTTAGATGTTACCATGGTAGTCAACAACTTTAGTTCAACACTCAATATAAAAAGACGCCGTCGAGTTCCAGGTATTTTACATGTTTAAATTTGCTCCCATCTGAATAAATGTTTGAGATTTGCCCTGTGTCACAGCTTTGACTCAAAGCACAGCCGGTTGTTCGCCTGTTGTCAGCTAGCGTCTCCATCAGAGCAGACAGAAAGTGCAGCTGTAGTTTTCGAAGTACTGTGAATTCTGTCTTCACACCGACTTCACCCATTTTGCCCTGCCTTATTGTCCACTGCAGACCTTGCCAAAGCGACACATTTGAGGACAGATCTTTTTGGACACTTGATGTTGTAAAGAAAAATCAATATTTTCACTCACTTCCTTTTTTAGGACTGACTGAGCAAAGAAAAGAGTTGATGACTTGTTTGTGTGTTTTGTTGAAGGCTTTTTGAGTTTATGATTAGTCATTGATTTAACTCTGCTGTTGCTGCTGCTGCTGACAAGAGCACTTTGTGGTGTTTGTGGAGGAAGTAGCAGCTGGTCCAAAAGATAGGAGACACTTACAGACCAATCAGGAAAATACAGACTGTTCTATAGAGTAATTATCACTTTTTGTGATCCTGTCATCATGAGGTCCTCCAGAGACACATGAGTGGACAGAGTCTGACTTTGGTAGAATTCCAGTATATAAAACACATTTTACCCTGTGTTTTATATACTGGAATTCTACCAAAGTAAGCAGAAATTTGCAATAAAAAATATTTATATGAAAATATAAACATTTACTTTATTTATTACATTCTTATATGAAAATATACACATTTACTTTATTTATTACATTACATTATGAATAGCAAGTAGAATCCTGCTCTCAGAATTAGCAATTAAGCATTAAAGCGCCACATAGTGGTCATAATATTACTGTGAATGATCAGATGTAGAGGCGTCAGCAGCAAAGAGACACATGTTTGAGCTCAGTCAGTGCTCTCGCCTGAAAGAGACCTCAAAAAAGAGAGCAAAGTAACAAAGAAGATGTTGGAGGAGGTGAGGGGGTGAGGAGGTGGGGAGGTCTTATGTAAAGTCCAGATGGTCCCAGAGAAGCATGTGACAGAGGCTTTAAGGGATATGAAGAAACAAGTGAAAGACCTGAGGGTTCATGGTAGTCAACACTGGTCCACGATAAGATCGAGGAAAGGTGGAGAGATAGAGAGAAAGAACATAGACCTGATCAACGTCGACATATCACCTGCAAGGCTGCTGTTACATCTTCATGTCCTCCCAGACCAAATCCTTAATTATCTATCAATTTCTCTTGACTGGCGGCTCCATCTTTGACTTTAATTATTTTAGTTTGTTCAACATTTACTTTCAGAACAACCAACTTCTCAGGTTTTAACCTGTCCATCCTGGTCATTACCGATGAAGTTCTCAGCCCCTGCTCTGCTCAGAACATTCACATAATTTAAAACTCACTGGTAAAGAAGTAGATCAACAAGTACTAGGTGGGTTTTTTTCTCACCTTTGCACATGTCTGAGGTCTCAGTTTGATTCTCCACATCCTTGAATGTTCTTTAACCATAACAACAATAAAAACTTGACAATACTTTTGGCAGTTTTTTTAAATATAAATTCAAAGGTATTTCATGAGGCTGACTGTTAAATGCAGAGGAAACTAGCTGACGTTTACTGTAAAACACTGAGCTTTACCTTTGTCCTGCCTCTGTGTGTGTGTGACCAACACCTGATTACTGATAAGTCAGAAGTACAGGCTGTCCAAGTACTAACATGGAGAACACACACAGCTGTACACTGTCTGCTCGCCAAAACTTCTATCGCTTTCCAAAGTCAACTATTAGCGTGGATTCCACCTGCCGCGATGGCGGGCCCTGCTGGGGGGTTTGTGCTCAGACACTGCTGTGGCTGTGGGCTGTTCTTTTTTTTTTTCTTTCTTTCTTTCTTTCTTTTTTTTTTTTTGCAGAACACACTCGTGTTTGTTGTTCTCCTATTCGGTCACAGCTGCAGCCGCGGTCAACAATGCTGCAGAGACGCTCTGTGTTTTTACCCCATAACACAAGGGCACGGCCGGACTGGAGGACCAACTGCAGAGTTCTGAGAGGAAATGTTATAAAGGATATTGTCAAAGTACAAAACTTGTTTTTTTTAATTAACTTGTCTGAATGGATATTTTGGAAAATAACTTCAATAATCTCTGAGCAAATCACAAAGAACTGATTTAACTCAAAATTCTGTGTTGAACAATCATCATTTTCTGATGATACATATTTATTTCAGGGAAAATATGAAGGTTATATAAAATACTGAAAAAAACAAAATGACGTAGATATAACAATACACAAAAGTAAATGAACAAGTTTAAGCATAATTTCATATGTATTCAAAAGCAGAGATTTATAGGAGGTCATGAAAGAGAAAGTGAGAGAGAGAGAGAGAGACCATCTGATGCCAGCAGATGGAGTGATGGAGGGAAGAGGAAAGAGGAAAAGTTACGAATCAGGACGACGGGAGCCAACGCTCATGGGCTTCTCTTAAGGCATAGATTTCACTTTCCACTGCATCTGCTCCAGTGTTTCCACCTTATGCTTAGACTGTGGGGCAGTGCAGTGAGTATTTCTCATGGACTATGTGAGCCAGACCAAGGCCACATGAATAATTCAGCTCCACATGTTTTCTGTCGAGGTGAATTGTTGTTTTATTCCCCTTTATTAAAACGCACTCGATAAAAACACGACAGCTCACGAGATCAAAGTCTAACATCACGGCCTGGGGTGGAAAAGCAACGATGTCTCTACTCTCCCGGTGCAGTGACTTGACCTCCTTGATATCTCAGACACACACTAAAGTCACCCTCTCCTTCCCTCCCCTTCTTTGTGTCTTTGCTGTAGAATGGAGCGGTTCCAGGCGAACCAGTGAAGAGCGATGAAAACTCCCGGAGAGGAAATTGGGGAAACCAGATTGAGTTTGTCCTCACCAGTGTGGGCTACGCCGTGGGTCTGGGCAACGTCTGGAGGTTTCCCTACCTCTGTTACAGAAATGGAGGCGGTACGTAGGTCCACACAGAGCACAGAGTTTAAGAGTGTTACAGGTGATAAACTGTGACATCTAAAGACTAAAAAAAGGAACAGAAACTGGCCTCAGAAAGAGAGATAGACTAGTTATTTATTATTATTTTGAGCAAAAAAAATCCTGCAACTCACTGAAATCAATTTTATTTATCAATAATCAAGTTTATTTATCCGTTTGTTTAAATTTCTTTTCAGTTATCTCTCAGTAAATCCATTTACCTAAAGCTCTTTGTAAAAATAGTGAATCTAATTTAGAAGGAAAAACGTCTGTAATGTCGGTGTGTTATCAACATTATTGATAACGACACTATAGATATAATTTAAGCAACTCATGACGGTGGAAATTTGCCCTCTTGTGGAGTAGTGAGGTAACTTATAGCAAGGGTGGACTCAGACACAGACTGTTCAGGGATGAGGTAATAAATAAAGACGCCGTAAAATTTTAGGAAACCCTTGAATGCTGTAAATTAATATAAGAAATGGGATCAGAAATCCAATTTCAAATGGTTACAGGGAATATTAAATTAATGCTACAGTATTTTGACTTCCATAGATATGAGAGCCTTTAGGTCTAGAGTTTTTTTTTCTCATTTCTAACGCAATATCTTTTATCTCATATTAAAGGAATTGGCATGAAAATAACATCTTTTTGTTGAAGCAGTGGTTTTCAAAGTGGGTGCCAGTGGGCGCTAGATGGTTCTCAGAAAATTGGAGGACAGATAAATATATATATATATATATATAAAATGTTTTAAAACCCGTTTGTTCTGAATTGTACAACGCGTTATCGTGAAATTCTCAAGTTTCCGATGGTACCTGAACGCATTCCCTGTGATAGGTAGAAACTAGCATATCTCCTAAATTGTCTACACCTGGCGGTTGTTTACGAGCTGTTCCGCTTCGGAAGATGGCATTTGGTTAGTTAGCGCAAAGTTATTTTATTATTTTTTTACAGTAAATGGACCGAATGAGCAAACCACAACACTTTGTTCAAAGGTTTATAATTCAATGGGTAAATACAGTGCTGAAAACGTGTTTGGTAATATTTTTCCTATGCTTAACAAATATAACGAGGGCCCCCGGCTAGAAGCTAATGCTAATAACGGGGTCTAACCTCGGAAAGGTTTGGGAACCCCCTTTTTTAAAGTACAGTATTACTAGTACCCTTTGACTCCTTAGCCTTAGTCTCCTAGTGTTTTGTGGCCATAAACGTTCCGTTACCTTGACGTTTTAATAAAAATGTGGCCAAAACGTTATTTCTTGGGGACAACCACTGTATTAGAGCTGTATTAGCAGCTGCGTCACAGCATGCGTCACAGAGACGCCCCTTTATTTTGACTTCGCCCAAGAGCATTTTTGGTTTTGGTTTTTGTTTTTATGCCCTGAAAATTCTCTTAGAACGTGTAGAAACCCGAAGCGGAGTCAGTTCTCGCTGTTGTCTTTCCGCTGAAGTGTTGCCTTCACTTTGCATTCAAGGCCAAAGAACAGGATGAAAAGAGAGTTCACGCTCGGCTGCTGTCAGTCTGTTTTAGAGGCTTTCTGTCCTCAAGTCAACTGCATCCTACAAAGGGTCTGGGTGACACGTGATCCCCGGTGACTCCCCCCAAAGCTTTAACAGGACATGGCCATCTCAGTCAATAAGTCAGACTTTTGCTGGACATCCGCGTTCAGGTGCAGCAACTGTCATCCATTACAATAACTCTCTTTTTTTTCTGCTATGTTTTTAAGGTTTATGCCTCTAATTAGGTTTTTAAGGTACTTATATGCTTTCCTCTACAGACTTAATGACCTCTATTAATTAAGTTGTCTATAAAATACAGTTTTCACACAACAATCCATTTATTATGACAGCCAGTCAATGTATTTTTTATAATGAATCTCACTAGGGGATGGGAGTGAACATGAAAGAGTTGTTTAGGTGGTATTGATTATGGTATGCATTTAAAGAAGTGTTACTGAATCAAATGAATACAAGATAAATAGTTGTTACAGACAGTAGTTATATTAAATCAACAAATAATTATATCAGAGGATGATGTGCAAAAACCCATGTTTTACATTTTAAATGTTAAATGTTGTTAAAAAACATGCACAGAATTCTCATGATTTTTAGGAATGTGTTGTTTATTGTTATTTACTTAATGCCCTTTTCCACATTTATTGAACATTATCTCTATGCAGCCACAGAGGCATTAACAGATATGGAGCTGTGCTACAGTCAATAATCAAAGAAGTTATTTGTTTAGCCGAACTTTAGTTTTGTGGTGCGTTGGTTGAACCAAAACCGTTTAGCTTGTCGACCAAGATGTTTGAACCAAAACCGTTTAGCTTGTCCACCAAGATGTCAGCATTTGGTTAAGGCATTTGCTGAAATAAAGGGAAGTGTGACAATAATTTATTAAATATATTTAACAATGTACTGCATTTGAGGGTCCTCTGCTGTGAAAACAATTACAGATATTTTGAGATGGATTTTTCCTGGTTGTAATTGTGTGGCGCTTTGGCCCAGCGGCAATGTCTTGTCATTGGTGTGGAACCCCAGGGTTCACCTCCTGGGCAAAATCTAATCCTGGTTAGTGCGGTTGGTTCCTTCCAGTGGACTCACCACCCACAGGAAGGTTCAGGGGGGTTGGTACGGTGCAGGGTGATTTGGTTGGCAGTCATAGTGACTGCTTCCCCCCGCGACCTGGTAACGGATAAGTGGATGGAAATGGATTGATGATGGATGGTTGTAATCTTTAGATTTGGCTTTTCTGTCCTGATGTGGAGGAGATATTTAGGACTCCAGAGTTTGTCTAGGGAGTTGATCTGGGATTGTGGTTTTTATTACTCATTGCAGCTTTTTGTTTATTCACATCCTTTGGCAAAAAGACGGCATTTAACTGATGCAGGTTTATTCTTAATCCATGGTAAAGATGTGGCTGAACTTTATCCTTGTTTTTCACCTTCGGGGTAATATTTGTGCCGTGTCTGAAGTAACATCTGTAGATTTCCTCCGGCTCACTTTGCTTCCATATTACTGGTCTCTGTGCTCATTCAGTTGTAATTATTATCTTTGTCAGACAAGACAGGGGTGGGAGGAAGATGTCACTGCACATGTCTGCCAGGCTCACGTTTCCACGAAGACTGACAGGAACATTTTCCACCAAACACTGAAATTATGCAAATTTGGCCTGACAGTATAATTTCTTTCGTGTTTTTTTTTTTTCTTCACCAGGTGCTTGCATATTGTTGTTCATGTGCAGCAGAGTTTGACTCCTGTTTGTTTTGTTCTTCCAGGTGCCTTCATGTTTCCCTACTTCATCATGTTGGTCTTCTGTGGGATTCCTCTCTTCTTCCTGGAGCTGTCCTTTGGTCAGTTTGCCAGCCAGGGATGTTTGGGAGTCTGGAAGATTAGCCCTATGTTCAAAGGTAGCTTGGCTTGTTACAGAACTTAATATTGTTTTTGTTTAGTAAGTCTTAAATTGTGGCTGACATGTTTGGCACCCTCCTGTGGTGTAGCCAAATATTCCACAATACCATCAACATTGGCCGAAACATTTCAAGTAACGTCCATCATCGTTGTTTGTTTCCCTCTTCCTTCTTAGGTGTTGGTTATGGCATGATGGTGGTGTCCACCTACATTGGCATCTACTACAACGTGGTCATCTGTCTGGCCTTCTACTACTTCTTCATGTCCATGACCAACCTGTTGCCTTGGACCTATTGCAACAACCCCTGGAACACGCCGGACTGCAGCGGCGTGGTGAGCAGCGGGCACTACCTCAACAACAGCCTGGCGAACAGCACCAGTAGCCTGATGTCTGGGGTGTCGGAGGTGGTGAACCGCACCAAGAGGACCAGCCCCAGTGAAGAGTACTGGAAGTAAGTCCTGGTCCCAAAGAACGCACCACATTTACAACAGATGCAGTTCAATATAAAACACCAGATCTTTTTATTGAACTGCATTTGTTTTTATCATTTTTATCTGGCACGGTTTGTTCTCATTTTTATGTTTAAAAAAAAAATATATCAGGAATAGTTTTTCAGGAAAGGGCAAGTGTTTAGTGAATAAAAACTTTAAAAATATTTTTTTTAAAAATTACAAATGTCATTATATTCAGTATCATAGACCAATGCAGCATAGTGAATAAAAACTTTAAAAATATTTTTAAAAATTTTTACAAATGTCATTACATTCAGTATCATAGACCAAAGTTTCCTTTTGTAGTTTACATATTGGAGGGCAAAATGCTGCAAGAAAACGTTCTTAATTAATCTAATCTAATTAAAAAGTTTTTTACAATACGCAAATAAAATGATGAATTGTAATTGTCAAAAACAGCCTTTAAATTGATTGAACCTGGGGGGGGTTGATTTTTAGCATATATAGGCATCATTCATGTGATAGTACAGTTTCCAGACTTTCCCGCTGATGTAACTGACTTGTTTGGACTTGTGGTTTTCTTGTGGCTGTTGCAGATGAAACCCAGGTCAGAGCTGACCCGTTAGATAAGATGATGTCAAACATGGCCTGTGTTTGCAGAAGGCATGCAAATATTTGATCTAGACTTGAGTGAATGCGTAACAGATGTTGAGCAATGTGCATCCATGACCAGGAGGTTCCCCCGTATCACATCTTAAGTCATGGAAAACTGGGCCTCCCTGAGAGAAAGGTGCATTCAGCAAAAATATAACACTGGCTGAAGTGTTCTGATGGTGAAGAGGTGAAGAGTAGAGCAGATGCAGCTGTTTGTGTTGCTGTGGTCCATTTAGTTAACCAAGTATTTGAAATTAATAAAAGAAAAAGGCAAAAAAAAAAAAAGGAAAGTGCTAAAGTTGCACAAGCTCAGGCTCTTTTCCCCCCAGCGAGGTGACATTCCATGTCCCCATAGCCAGAGTGGTTGTCCAGGGATTGGGCCGTTGGGGTCTCCGCCCACAACCGCCACCCAAATCACAAGGCACCGGCCCCTTGTGGGCCTTCCTGCGGGCGGTGGGCCCACTGGAAAGCGGGCTCACGTCGCTTGTTCGGGCTGAGCCCGGCCGGGTCCCGCGAGCAAAGACCCGGCCACCAGGCGCTCGTTTGCAAGCCCCAACCCCGGGCCTGGCTCCAGGGTGGGGCCCCGGTGAGGTCAATCCGGGCGACTCTTTGATTTAATTATTTTCTTCATCAAGGGGGGTGTTTGAATCGCTATTTGTCTGATCCGGTCGCCTAGGACCTGTTTGCCTTGGGAGACCCTACCAGGGGCATTAAGCCCCCGACAACATAGCTCCTAGGTTCATTCGGATACTCAAACCCCTCCACCACGTTAAGGTTGCGATTCAAGGAGGGGAAACCTTAAACCTGTTACTTTAATTTGTTTACATATTTAATTTGTTTAATTTCACATATTTGACTTGATCTTTTCTGTGTGTTTTTTCGCATTTGTTTAACCCCTGATTATTTTCTTCCTTTCCCTCTCTGTGTCACAGACATTACGTACTGGACATCTCTGATGATATTGGAAACTTTGGGGAGGTCCGTCTTCCCATCCTGGGCTGCTTGGCCGTGGCCTGGTTGGTTGTTTTCCTCTGTCTCATCAGGGGAGTCAAGTCATCCGGAAAGGTCAGCTCTCACACACTTATTCACTCGTACGTTCACGCACTCGTTGCCATGTCTGACATAGACTCCTCTCCTCTGCAGGTGGTGTACTTCACGGCCACATTCCCTTATTTGGTCCTGACCATCCTGTTCATCCGTGGCATCACACTAGACGGTGCCATCAACGGCATCAAGTACTATCTGACTCCACAGTGGCACAAAGTTCTGGATGCAAAGGTACTGTCACGTACAAGGCAGAAGGTGACGTGGCTGAAATATTTTTCTCTGCATCTTTGTCTTAACGTCACCGGTGTTGGTCCTGCAGGTGTGGGGAGACGCTGCCTCACAGATCTTTTACTCTCTGGGCTGTGCCTGGGGTGGGCTCATTACTATGGCTTCCTACAACAAGTTCCACAACAACTGCTTCAGGTGGGTTATAAAGTACTCAATTTGAGTCATTAAACACATCCAGCAGGTCTGGTCACAGGGTTTATAAACAAGTATAAATTCCTATTATGTTTTAAAAGTTTAAGAATAGTTGATTTTTAGGTGCAGAAATGCGGTAGAATGCTCTGTATAGAATTGTTTTCTCTGTCGGTGTCTGTTGGGTTTAAGAGCTAAGAATATTTGTTTACAAAAATGGACATGAATTCACAAAGGAATGCCTGCATTTGACATTGAAAAAGAAGAATGAATTATGTTTAATACATTTTTACAGTGCTATATTTACTGTAGGTCTGGAGCAGGTATGGGCAAACTAAGGCCCGGGGGCCGGATGAGGGCCGTTTAGCTTTTTATTCCTGCCAAACTTTTCCAAAATATATAATTTATTTATATTATCATTATACTTCTGTCTTTTCCATGCAATACCCAAGTTTCCCCACTAGATGGCGAAGAAAATCCTAAATACTGGAAATTGGACTACTGTTGGTCAGACACAGAGAAGAAGTGTCATTTATCTTAGTTCACACAAATGCTCCATCTATCTGCTCCTCACCCGGCGCCCCGGTAGATTTTAGAACAGTTGTGGCCCGTGAGTCAAAAAGTTTGCCCACGCCTGGTGCAGAGCAAAGCCAAACTATAGAAGTCAACTCTCTGGACCAATAAATAAATTGAACACCACTGTAATACTGTAAAACCATACCAGGAGGCTTTCCTGTCGAACTGTTAGCGAAAGCATCATTTGACGCTGACTTAGTTTGTTTCATCTTTTACAAAGACAAAGGGCCTGGAGTTTTCTAGCGGTGAATTTTTCCAATGAGAGAAGGTTAAAAGAGCGATGGCAAAGGTGACAGGAAGGGACGAAAATAGATAGGAAGCCTCTTCAAGGCTGCAGGTCTGAAAGGAGATGAGAGAAAATGTGGGATGAGGTGAGATATGGTTCCATACTGGGAAGTTGTGAGATAAGTGTTTTTTTTTTCCAGATGTGTGTTAAGAGGCTGGTTTAATACTGAGAGAACAGAAGAAAAGTCAGGGAGAAGGTTAAGATTGTGTAAAGGGCAGAGCCAAGGAGATAAGGAGAGGAAACGTTGTCATTTACTCTCCTGAGCTCCTCCACACATCAGGCTGACAGAATGTGGATGTTGGAGGGGTCGCTGGTTTGAGGGATTGAAGATATAATTTGCTCGTCTGCCAGAAGCTTGAGGTTTGTGCTATCAGTGTGGACAGCTGTCTGACAGCACTAATCAGCTCAGCGGCTGCCACTCTGTAGTCCGTGGAGAAGCTCCTGAAAGACTGCCAGGTGCATGTGCACAGATCCTCAGGGACTGGGGGGTGTGAGGAGGTGAGAGAAGGGCACTGACGTTGAATTCAGCTAAGACAATTCCCTGTGATCAGTTTAACTAGAAATGTTAAAGAGGAAAACAAACAAGGGCTTTTTTTTTAGAAACAACTTCTTTTCCCCTCACATCTAGGGACAGTAGACAAGTGGAACTGTTTAAATGTAGTGTAGTGTGTATGTGAACTGATCAGGTCCAAG